AGTTCAAATTTCAGCTCTAAGCTCTTCAGGTTTACGCAAAATACTATATTGAATATAGTGTGTGTATCTGAGAAAATAATTAAAACGTATACCAACACATTGATCTGTCCTACTATAAATTATAATGGTAGACTATGCATTCAAGGCATTTCCATCAACATTTTTCTGAGATTGAATTGAATTCAGGTTGGAATTGATTAATCAAACACAGATCATGTCAACATCAATATGATGAGTAGTGGTCTTTGTTCCTTTTGAAAGTGCATAAATAAACTGTATACTGATTCACTGAATATTTCATAAGGTGGGATATAGAATGTTGCAAAACTGACTGAGTTCCAATACATAAAATAAAATTACTTGCAACTAAGGTTTTGTCACAGATTTGAAATGGTTGAGAAGCACTGAATTGATATAATTAATGGTAATTCATCGTGTATACTAACAAATACCATTCTTACACGAAATAATATCTGTTCATTCCTCTAAAATTAATCATTTTACTTCAGTTTACTACATAATGACTAAATATTTTTGTACTTATTAAACTTAGAGTAAACTATATTAGGACAGTCACAAGAATCTTAGTAGAACTACTCTAATAATGGAGATTTCTTATTTTATTAATTGGTTATTAAGGAGGATATCACACAAATAAAATAAGTTTACATCAGAGATTCATTAATGTAGCATACATACATTAAAGAGGAGGGTCCTCGAATCTTGAAGAAAACTGCCTAAAGAATAATTTCATTGTTTTCAAGTATCTGACCTTCTGTATAAAATAAGGAGAGATTTTAGTGTCAGATAACAAAATTGTTAATAGTAGATTTGGAGAAAATAAGGGACTTAATTTACATTTCAAGTCGAGTCGAAAAAAAGAAGACATCCACTTACTTACCCACTTACACACTTGATTATTTACTTACATTCTTACGCCTGTTACCCCACATCGTGGTGTACAAAAGGCCGCTGATCATAATTCCCTGACCAACTTCATCCTGGTCTCTACTTCCCAGTTGTCTCCAATTTCATATCAACCTCCGATTCTCGAATCAGTGTGTTATTTGGTCTTCCACGTTTCCGTCTCCCTTCATGATTTCACATTAGAGCTTGTCTCATGATGCAGTCTGATGATTTTCATCATATATATGTCCTATCCACTTCCAATATCTTTCACTAATTTCCTCCTCAACTGGAAGTTGACTCGTCTTCTTCCACAGTACACTGTCGCTGATGGTATTTGACAAACAGATATTGAGTATGTTGTGTAGACAATTGTTTATAAATACTTGTAAATGTTTGGTGATGTTTGTGGTAGTTCTGGAAGTTTCAGCACAGTACAGTAGAACTGTCTTGACTTGTCTCCTATCGAAGATTGTGAGTTTGATGTCGGCTTGCACGCACTTGTTTTCTGTTTCATATTTTGTTGAATTGTACGAATCAAATCCTTGCTTAGGCGATTCTTGACATTCGTATTGAAGATTGTGAGTTTATTGTTTGCTTGCACGTAATTTTTTTAATTCAATATGTTGTTCAACTGTAGAAGTGCTTTCCTTGGCCCGTGGATATCTTGAAAATCCAGTCAACGATCGGAAGAGAGAGTGCCAGAGTAAGCAACATTGTCGGACGTCGGTCTTCGTTTGAAATGTATCTATCAGCTGCCGTCCATGCTCGAGTTCGCAGTTTACTCCATTGTAGAAGTTCCATGTTATTACGACAAGCATCTCGTCTAAAGCAAAATGTCGGGAAAGACTGCATAATGTTCTACTATTTACTCTGTCGAACCATTTCCCACTGTCAAGGAAGTCGATATTCCATTCAGTTAGTTGTCCAACAATTATTCGTAGTATCACGATTTGGTCAGTAAACGATCATTCCTTACGGAATCTAGTCTTCTTATTCGAAGTTGGGCGTCTAATGAATCTCTAATCTGGTTCAACAACACTCTGTTGAAAGGTTTTTCCAGTTCTGGTAGTAGTTTGATATCTATGCGGTTATCACAATTGCTCCAATCTCGATTTTTCGGTATCTTGATGAGGTATTCTTCTCATTCTGTCGGCACTTATACTTTTTGTCAAATCTGGTGATATGGTGCCTTAATTCTAACTTTTAGATTATTTGTTTTTGTTAGATTGCCACTTTAATGCACATAAACCAAGTATATGAATTACTTAATTGAATTGAATTTGCAAGTCATTCCCAAACAATCAAGATTTTATCTCGTCTTCACTCTATGGTTTCAATGAAACCTGATAACCTTTATCGATAAACAATGAATAGATGGGGGTTTTTTGGACATGGGGAATTTACTACCAACCAGCACCTAATTTAATGTGCGTTACGTTTCTAGGGATATAAAAGTGGCTGAACAACTACTGTTTACCACTACATGAAGTTACTGTGGGTGTGAGAGGTACTGGTTGATAGAGACCATCTAATTAAGGTTCAAGCGATCACCGCGCTCAGTGGTTAGAAAATTTGTGTAATATTGCCTAGCATCGCACACAAAAAAGAAGCTACATTCAACTTTTATTTTCTTCTCGATCATATATCACAGTATGTCTTCGTATATGCGATCCCATTCTATATTTCCGGTGTTATAACAATTCCTTTTTTCCATTTTAATCTTATCACACCAGCGTTATACGTAAGACTGAAACAATTCCAATATTTGTCGAGCTCTATTGTAATGATGACTGACTGAAAGAATTGATCGAATTTACTTCGGAAATAAGGGTTGATAAGTTAAGTTCTAGAGATGGTAAATGTTTATTAAAAAGTTTATGAGTGAAATAAATAAAAATTAAAACTAACGTTTTAACGGTAAATCAAGTTTAGTTGTCACAAATATTTGTTTGTATATTTACAGTTTTTTATTTCAACGAAATTGGGCTACCTTTATTGAGCACATTGAATATTTATCGAATGAAACCAACTGACGGTGTAAGTTTCCACTTTGTAAATATTATGAATGAACATGTTTTGAATTTTGAATGAATTCACACTGTGGGTTACTGTGGTTTACATTCAGTCGATCAATTCATTCTGGATTAGTTGTGTCTAGAAAGACAATTTTCGCAGTCTCAGAAACTCTACTGAGTTTGATTAAATGAACATGAAGTATGTTAAGAGAGGGAGAGAGTGAGGTAGATCATTTATTGATAGATATGGAAGCGCTAAATCGATTCAATAACTTGTACAAAGAGAATGTTGAAATTCATGTGACAAAGTATTTTGTGCTTAAACTAATATTTTATTTATTCTATTAACATGTTCAGGGCTACTGGGAATTTCTTTATTGTGCCATTGCCGAGTGGGTTCTGGTTCTGGCGTGTATTTTATTCACTTTAATTATTGCTCTGGAAACACAAACATATGAAGACATTTTAGTACGGAGTAAAACCAGAAATATTACCACAATCCAACTTATGAAACAAGTCTAAAATATTTGTCAATTATTTCGAACGACATTTTGTACTTACTAATCTTTAAACAAAATTGATAAATATATTCATGAATAGCGAGTTGATTATTTCTTTATGAACTGACTAGTGAGAAAGTCGAGAACGTGGTTCTGATTTGTTTCAAAACTCAGTTGGAAAATCAGTTTAATTGAATGAAAGTTGATTTTCACTTACAACAAATGAAGTTTTGATTGTCACGTGGAAACACCGTGGTTGGTTACATGTGTTTCCACATTTAGAAAACAATCTTCGAAGAATTCGAAACTTACTCGAAACTTTCCAATGCTCTCTGTGATCTCAGAAATCTGAGTAGGAAAATAATAGTCTGTGGTAAATTTATGTTGTATAGGGAACAACAGATAACTTTGAAGTGAGATTTTGATAAGATTGTCAATACACTGTAATGTATCTACATTGATTTAACTGAATGGATTGAAAATACTGTAACAAGTGCACGAGTGGGTTCTCATGCATCAGTTATAACAGTGAAACGGATTGCATAAATGATAAGAGTAGTATAAAATTACAAACATTTTACAAGCCGATTAGTGCATTATTAGCAATAATATAGACAATAAATAGCTTGATAATATGAGTAATATTCGGACGTATGATGCAGATCGAACTCGGAAAAATAAACTTTTTAGAATGGTAGTCAGTAAAATTAACGCATTCAGAAGTGTGTGAATAATCATTTTGAATATGTTGAAGAGGAAGAAGAGATATGAAAAGGATCAGTGGAAAAGAATTTGAATTGGAAAATAAGGTGAGATCGTCGTGTAAGCTTCCTCTCACTGAGAGACGTCCAGAGGTATCACAAACTTCATAAGTATAAAAAGAGTAAAGATGTTTGTTTAAATGTCTGGTGTGTGTGCAAGACAAAAAGAAATTGCATTTAGAAAATTGAAATGGATTATTTAAATCATTGAAAATTGCTGATTGTATTTGCAACCTAACTACTATCAACCTAGTGTGATAGAACATGGAGGTGTATTGATTATGTCTAAGAATTCGGAAACCTTAAATATGAGTCGATCGTTCAAATTAAGTAGGCAGATAATACCCGATCAAAATGAAATTCCATATTAACTAAAGACATTTGGTCTAAATCTAACTAGTTTTGAATGCCAAAATATTTATTATTCAGGCCAACTTTATTCTCATCTATTTGAATTAGATGTATGATATAGCGTGATTGGGTTGATAAGAATGAAGGATTATAACTCAGTTAAAAAAATTACAATATTTTTTGAAAGTGCGCTTATCACTGAACGTTTAAAGTGCCGAGCATTTGATTGACCGTAGATGAAAATGAATAGACGTTAGACAGATCAAAATCCATATACTTAGATTTTTGATGCTCCCTTTATTAATGTGCGACATTCTAATGACCACACATTCTTTTAACTTAGTTTATAAAGATTCACTATGCAAGCAGTACTTGTAACTTCAAGTTCTCACAACTTCATTGATGAAAGTTTTCTGAAGCAACCATACGTAGAACATCCACATGTGAGTTAGTTGATTTACATGTGAAAACACAGATCCTAGTACAAGCATATACAAACAGGTACAATTCGGTTTGAGAAATATTTAAAATGTAGAAACATTATTCCTCGTATATTCAGACGGTTTTATTGATTTCCTCATACTGGATTTCATAAGTTCGCAACTCTAAGCCAGTTATCAAAGTGATTTCTATTAATCCCAATATCACGAACCATTCGCTGATTGCACATTGATTAAATTCTTTGTAACCCTGTAATTAAAAAAAATCACTGGTGTATTTTAAAAGCCTACAAGTACCTTAATACGGATCACTTTCAGCTAATCTCAGTAAAGTTTACATGGGTGTTATTTTAAATAAAAAGCGTTTCATGATAAAAAAAGATCTCATAAGAATAATTGGTTTGATCGACTAAATCTTTACAATCACGAAATTGTTGTGTCACTTCGACAGCTCTCTCTGTAGATGTTACACGTTTAGAGTGAGTGGAGATTTTAATTCAAATATTTATCAGTTTTGGAATACATAGTCACTTTCCCGAAAACTTTGTTTCCTCACCAAATGCTCAGTTCAATTGAGAATGTTGTTGGAAACATGAGTGAAATAACGAACCAATTTAAGTTAAACAACTATTGAAAACCTGAAAGCGCTAGACATGTTTCATCACGGTGTGAGAATCCTTGGTCATTAACATCCACAACTCAGCAATTGGTAATCGAACCCAGGACTTTCGGTCAGGTGCTTGTACTCTTAACCTCTAGACGACTGAGCCGGCCCCCAATGGTGGTAACATCTAAACTCATTTAATACACGATATTGTGCGGCTATTTTCCATTGCCTTCGGTGGGTACCTTCCTCACACCCAACACGGTTGAGCCCAACTAGTCATGGCGTCTCAGTAGATCTCCAGAAATTTTCTATCTTAGCTAGTTACCAGTGAGCACGCGGTCGTGTAAATTAGATCGGTTCAAGATTTCGAAAAAATATATTTAATACCATCGATAAAGCATATTTATGTTATTCTGTAACCAAATTTTTTTATCAAGTATACTTTATTCTAGAACAAAATTAGAGAGATAAAAAAGTGTGTGAAGTAACAGCTATGTGCTTTACTGACACATCTGAAGAATAATTAGAAGCTTTGAGTGATACTTTTATGAAGGACGGATAACTTGAAAAGTTAGAATAATCGGGTTGATCGACTAAATCTTTACAATCACGAAATTGTTGTGTCACTTCGACAGCTCTCTCTGTAGATGTCACACGTTTAGAGTGAGTGGAGATTTTAATTCAAATATTTATCATTTTTGCAATACATAGTCACTTTCCCGAAAACTTTATTTCCTCACCAAATGCTCAGTTCACTTAAGAATGTTGCTGGATATATGAGTGAAGAAGCATGAAAAGCTTGGAGTTTCCCATATTACCGAGCAATAATTAAAATCGGAATGAGGAGAAGAAATTAAAATGATAAGACTCAGCTTACATGAGCATGTATAAATCTACGAAAGCCTCAAAATTGACAACACCTTCACTTCATACGACCCTGAAGGTAAACTAAATTGACTTGATTTTCCAGTTTGTGTTTGGTATATTCAATATTCTTCCGTCTGAAATCGCTGACTTTTCATTATCGAAGAAGCGGTTGTCCACATTTAAAATATATTGTCATGTTACGAATTTGATCATCAAGCTAGGTGTTTACGGGAACTACGTAATTCGATTTATTCAGGTGAAGCATTCCTGTTACTTCACCGAGGCTGGCTTCTATTTACTGAATATTCGTGTTTACTACAGGATTTGGTTTCTTTGAACATTAATGTTTATTTCATGTAAAGTTACATGTGTGTTATTGAATAATTCGCTATAAATTCATGAATTTCATCTTGTCGAATGTTTGTACTACGATTTACAATATTGTGATTGTGTTCTTCAGTGTTTGATAAGAGTTTAACGGAAAACTTGAATAAACTGAATAAAATATCAACTCAGTTAATATACTGAATGTAAATAGTGATATTGGTGTTGTGTACTCACCGGTTCGTTTTCCTTGATGTAGAACAAATTTTTCGCCTGCAAAACTAGTAGACCAGCTCGATTAAAATAAACAACTACAGTACGGAAATACAAAGAGAGAAATTCAGACGCTAAATGATTTGACTTATTGTTATTAATAAAGTAATAATACTAAAGTCTCTCTGAAATAACATTTAGTTTATACCGACCTATGGAATAATCTGTGTACTTCTAACATGAACAGGCATCTAGACCACATTCATATGTTGTTTGCTTAACGGTAAACAAACTATAGAAGTAAAGAATACATAATACTGGTAAATGTTGTTAACAAAACTATTGCGTGAGGCAAATGAAGGGTAAAAGTCTTCATAAATTAAAACCACTTAAAATATATACTACTCTAGATTGGATTATTGATATTCATAAACATTGGTTGTTATTGTCATTTGAAATACACAAGATTCGATAAATGTTGTGTAACTTACAAAAATAAGATCCGATGATCATTTGAAGAGAAACAACAATTCTAGCAAGTAGAAACCATTTCCATGAACGGAAATTACAAACGATAAGTAAGGAACTCAATGGAATAGCGACTGCATGGCAAATAAAATTACTCAACGTCAAATGGAAATGTAGTTGATTAGTATCTTTCATCTACAATACAATAATTATAATTTATTGGTTACTAGTAAGGCGAGATTATAAAATTAATACTGTTACATAAGAGGAAACAATTGCTGATTGCGAATCCTATTTTAGTTATAGTTTAATTCTCAACTGTCTATTCAATGAAAATACTTCGTGACTTTAACGTTCATCTGTGATCATGATATGTCTTGCTAATTGAACGCTATACTCCTATGATCCTAAATGTGACTTATCATTTTCGTGAAGATTCTGGCAAAATGTTTGGTGAACGCAGACTGGATAGAATTCTTCTTAATGTTTACTGAACCTTTCTTGTCCTTTGAGAGCAGTTCGCAGGATCACCCCAACAGTTCATGTTCTGTCTGAAGGTAGTAAATAATACTTAGAAATAATACACATAAATTCTTGACAATATGAATTTAAGACAAGTTGGGAATTTACTTCACTATGTAAAACATTAAAGCGTAAATCTCTTTTCACTAACTAATGACGAGACAAGACATCATCGCCATTCCATAAACTATGTCAGTAAATAACTATCATTATAATTTATAAACATGTCCAATTACATTATATAAGCATGTTACAGTCATTAAATTGATGTTCTGCAAAATACGGTAATCTCATAAATCAAGATGTACAAAATGAACCAAACAATGAAATGTTTTGAATGATTTCTGACCATCGATTTCAGTGGTTATAGTGTTGTTTTCCACAACTGGTCTGAAGTAGTTAAAGTTTTCTCCTACCTGGTGATTTGTTGCAGTGAAAAATCGAACTTGACAACTGAGACAAAAATGAGCACTGATGTGTAGTCAGTATACATGATTATAGTTCAAGGGAGAACGGTATGGTCAAACTCCACTAAACTTTTGACTACTAAGATTTATGTAACTGGTTTATTGGCTATTAATTTGCAAGTAACAAGGTCGATAACTGTTATGGCAAGTGATTCAACTAAGTCAATCGGTTCTTCAATAAATGTAAATAAACAACGTACGAGGTACGGATTGCTACCTCCGTTGTTGTACTTTCATTTATTCATACTCTTACGAACGAGTTTATGAGCTGAACGTACATTGAAGAAAGATATTAGAACAATGCAAATTCCTGATATTGTATAAACCAATCCAATGAAGATGCAGATGTATTGAGGAATTTTAGACTGTGATTTCTGTTTGAGTTTTTTTCTCATCATGAAGCACCAAAACCACTGACTTATAATTGCTGAAATTTCACATGAAACGTTAGTGAGAAACAATCGAGAGGATAAAAAGTGAGTGCACTGAAACATAATGATCCAATAATGTGTCATCATCTTCATCGTAATTCATCCCACAATTTATTGATGGCTAGGGTTTCGGACCATTTTCAAAATAGTTAATAAACAAAACCTTGGGTCATCACCTATTTCTCATGCTAGTCTCGTATTACAATGGCTAATTCCAGAAGCTTTATGATATCCCGACAAAGTGTTTAGGTGTCATTCATGAAGTTTGATATGCCTGGACATACGTAACACATATCTCAAGTGACGCAAGTTGGAAAAGGTCAATTTGGTAGATGCTATCGATATTCATCGGTCTTTCTACATTTTTTTGTTGAGTTATTTCGAGATGTTTTATCGCTGGGATTGTAGTTATTCGGATATCATTCTAAGCTTCTTCATGAAGAACCTTTTTCTTTGATTAATTAGACACTTGTTGAATTGTTTCTAGAACATGGTGATGATCTTTTTTAATCCACATTTATATCCAGAGATATTTTCTCTTTACAACTTATCCATGTCCGGTAAAATGCATCGTCTTAACATGTCCCACATAAGTATTCTATCGACCTTCTCGGATGTCGGACGATAGCGATACAATCTATCCATCTGTCCATCGTTGTTTCCGTGTTCGTGGTCTCTAGGTTAGAAATTGTCTGTCTATGTTTAAATTCTGTACTCGTAAGGAATCGGAGGCTGTCTAGACGTAATTGGAGCAGATGGTGAATGTTATTTATTGGTTGAATTGGGAAGATACATGAACGATTTAAGCAAGAAATGTTTTGGTAAGGTCACTGAAATTTACCCTTCAGACACTAATTCGCTACTTGTATTCCAACAACTCACCGACTAATTTGCCTATCACAGCAAAGCCTAAAAAAACATATGTTCTAGCAGACATAGTTCCGCTCCAGTAATACAATTAGAAGGCTCACATATTCAGTCAAAGTAATAGCTGCACACAAGTTTAAATTAACAATACGAATCAATTAGTAGAAAGACATTTACATCGTGGAATGTAACGACAGATATGTAGTGATCTTCTATTTTTATCTCTCAACGTAGTCTTTCAGTATAGTCTCAATCATATTACATATTCTGATAGAGACAAATGGCTCGTAACATCGTATGTTGATCGAAATCTTTTAAAGAATTGTAGTTAGCTTATTATCTTAATCAACGAGAGTCCACGGTGTTATCAAAAAACACAATTTAAAGTACAACGCAACGAATCTATAAGTACAGAACATGTAATAAAACATGACGGTTTTCGTCACCTTTTATGTATTCGTTTTTCAATAATGGTACTTGATGCTAATTATTTCTGAAAGAAATGGTTTGTACAAACATGTAATTCTTTGGTTGTCATCTGTTCTAGATAGTGTACAACATTTAAGTGAAGCATGTTACGATGATCACAGGATTAACAAATTCTTCCGGTGAATTGATTAGTAGTTGTAATTCATTTCTATTACGGAAGGTTTTACAAATAAAATTCTCCTATTTTTATTGTCTACAACATACAGCTTACCAAACTGTGGTAGAAGTGTTTATTTAGGTCTTATCACGGATTCATAGTAATTTTATCCAAGTGAGGGTAAGTCCCTTTTCTATGCAGACGATCTTAAGGTAGTGTACTCATTTTCTCCACATGAGCTGAACAATATTCAAAATTGTATCAGCAGGGAGCTTAACAAGGTAGCACAGTGGTGCTCAAAATGGCAACTGGAGCTTAATACAGCTAAATGTGGATGGTTATGCTTCGGTGATACATCACTGAAACTCGATCTTACAATAAATGGTGAAGTGTTATCTAGGTTACACACAGTAGTAGATCTAGGACTTAGGTACTCCGACGACTTGTCGTTTACTGAACAAATAATGAAACAAACATCCAAGTCTCAACGCCTTATAACGCCTCATAACAGCGAATCTGGTATATTAATGTACAAAGTCTGTGTTCGACCACTCCTCGAATACTGCGCGTTTCTCCTTAGTAGCACGCGCATAAAGGATAGATTAAGACTGGAATCAGTACAGAGAGGATTCACACTTCGTACTCTTGGAACTGATTGTGTCTTGACATATAATTCTCGGTGTAGTAAACTAGGGCTTGACCCTTTATAGAAGAGGAGACTCAAACTTAACCTTATCTTCTTTTTTCAAAATACTTAACAAACTCTCCTTCACATCCAGCCAGGCGATTCAATACGCTAAAGCCTCACATTACGACATTCGTAACTGCTTGTCTTTAACGAAACAAATATATTCTAGATCTCTCTATATGAATTACTTTACCTGTAAGTTTTCTAGGCTCTGGAATAATTTACCTCAAACTATCTGTATGTTGAACTCTCTCCCATTGTTTGTTCGCTCAATTAATGCCTTTTGCTCCTCTGAAAATGCATTAAATTCTCTAGCGTCTGCAAGTGTATTTTACTCCACAAGTGAGATTATCAGAACTTTAAGTGTTTAACCTCTTACTTGCTATCATTGTTTTGTTGTTCTGTGCTCTTTGCTTTAATCTTACTTTCTCTAGTTGTAGATAATTATCAATAACTCGCTTTGGCACTAGAAATAACCTTACAGAACATCAGGCTATCTACTTAAAAAAAATGACAAGTTCCCTGGTGTTGCATTGGCTTGCCGTGATATATGTCATATATAAACTACTTATCAATTAGTAAACAAGCAAACATAAAACTTTCTTATATTTCATGTTTGTTCTCTACATTAAATGTTGCTTTTTGTATCAATCTGATCATGCCTGTAATCTGGTGTGAATTCTGTAAATTAATTATAGAAGGGGTTTTGTGGAGATTTAGTATTTATTATAGTTGAAAGAGTGAGCTAGACCACCATGGAAAACCTGGAAACACTGGACGGCCGTTCCGTCCTATTATAGGACTCCTCAGCAGTGCGCATCCACGAACCCGCTCTTGCGAGATTCGAACTCAGGACCGTATTATATTTCAGAATCACATTCACCATGCAAAACACAATTAAAATAAGCTGAATCGCTTCGTATCACATAAATATTTACATGAGTTCATTTTTCAGCGAGAATTAATAAATCATATTGGTTACCTCAAAAAGGGAACAAATGGTTGTACATGATCATATGAGGTCACCACAAGGTACCTGATAAGAATAAGAGTAAAGTTATGAGAGAGAGTGTGTATATGATTTTTCAACTGTCCGTTTACAAGTTATATCCGAATCTCCAGGAAAACAACTCTCAACTTACACTAAATTGTGAACGCTTCGATATTGGATTTCGAAATATGACAATAATATTTTCAAAGTATTTGTCGACTGAATAACGAAATTCCACTACAGAATAATTTTTGATTTCGAATAATATTACTTAACTGGGTTGAATGTGAACTTTTACTATTCTTAGAATTTGTTAGAATTCGTCTGATATGGTCTTTCATGGATATCCTTGAGATTATTCTTATGTTTCATCTAGGAATTGATACGACAATACTTATTAGTATGACTTCCAAAGGTGTATGATTTTCAGAATACTGATGGAGTTTATGAGAATAGTTTATTTCATCGAGCATCTCAAGTTATATGGCCAACCGAATCACAACTAGTGACGTGAATCATTCAATGAAACTTAACAATCAAATGTGCATGAACACATGAAAAAGTGGTAAAGCGTTAAGGTAATTAATGCTTGAGCGAATATATGAATAAGTGAGTTGGCAGGTAATGCACACAATCATCCATGCCAATTTATATAGGCATATGGATGTGAAAGCTAGATATGTGATTACATACGAAGTAGTAGGCTATAAATACAAGTTTATTTCAAATGTGTTTCAAATCTTCACGTTGTCAATATTGAAGTCTGGAGTCGATCAACAGTGAACAGATCGATACACAGATCAAACAACACTCTGAAATCAATATCTTAGTAGGTAACACTTTGGGTGTTCGATGCGAAAGCCAATATGATTGAGTCTCAGAGTGGACATCAACATCGAGGTGTACGTACATCCAACTGATCAGTCCTAGATAAGATGAAACACAGATCATGGATATGACCGTTAATGGTTATTAAACTTTGCTTAAAAATAAAAAATCACCACTTGCCTATCACAAATTAGTTAGAAATATTTGGTTCATTGGAAAGTGCATAAACCAGTGTTTTGATAAGTGTACTTTTGGTTAAATGATTTGTGTCCGATTTAGTGAACACTGTTTATTGATGCTAATTTACATTAGATAACATTTACATTGTATGGAATGTGAAATCCAAATTATCAATGTGATGCACAATAACTGCATTATGCTATTAGGATGTACTATGAAACAGTGATTACAACAGCTATGACTTCAATCGATATAGTTAATTATTTAATGAGACTACAATTACTGCATATTTTCATAGCTTAACATGGAGTACTGATTACAGTTGACCCATGGAGGAATGTACAACAAACTGTATATTGGAATATTTTTACACTAAGATGATAGAATTACGGAAATAGCAACACAGATTGTGTGTAAATGATTATTATTAGTGTTGAAATAAAATGAAGAGACTGTTCAAATTTGAAGTATTAACTGATGGGAATCAATAAGACGTTAAGCAATAGTATGAGTGGATTTCCAATTATTTTTCAATGACTGTTACTATATGCTTCTAATACTTTAGTGGCACGATATCTGACTCCATTAATATTGTATGATTGATTGCTATCGGACTATTCATGTTGGCTATCCTAGTATATAATTTTCGATTTGAATCTCATTAAATAAGCCAAATGCAAGAATGGATTTCGAATACGAATATTTTGTGCAATCGTTGATCGGAACAGACAATCAGAGAGGCATAAGGAATGTGGAGAAGAAGAGGGAACGATAACGGACAAAACGAAACGAAATGACGTGCAGTGTAGTAGGTAAATAAACCAACTAGATTTAACCAAATGTGAATCGATATTTATAATCAGATAAAACTAAGCTACAGATGAGTAGTATGAGTAAGATAAGAAGGGCACACGCAATACACTCATATAAAAACAGTCAAGGTTGATAAACGAATAATTAACTAGGTCAAAATATGACTCATGATGGATGGATAAATCGGGTATTATGGAAGCTGGAATAAGCTGTGTAGGCCTAACA